CAAATTTCTGAACGCTTTTGACGAATTCGGGAAAATTCTGGCTCTAGCATGTTTTGCGGACAGGCAAAGGACAACAGCTATTGATTATCACACTTTTTATCAAATTTCGAGTGCGCTACAAAACGGAACTAACTTAAATGCGATAAAAATTTTATTAACGAGAGAAGATAAGTTTGATAAATGAATTTAGCTGGTAAATGAATTCAGGTAAATGAATTTAGCTGTGCGGTACTAAAACCGCATTAGTAAGCCTTCACTAACCTTTTTTAGCCTTAACCTTTTTTGCCCTTCACTATTGATACTGAGAAAGCAACAGCAGCTGTTTTGCGAAATGAGTACTATTTTGGTCAAGGAAATCAAAATCCGGGAGGCATCTCCTCCCGGAACTTAGATGATGCATCAATTTTCCATGATATACTGTAAGCGTGAAATTCACTCCCTATTTGACCAAAAGTAGAGGAATTGCAGTAATTTTGGAAGTCACGAGAACAGGGGAGTTTTTAACAGGGGAAAAAAGAAAAACTTATGTTTTCTCTGTAACAGTTGACATATGCGGAACGTGAACAAACATCAGTCCATTACGCATGCAGCTCGTAAAGGCAGTTGGCCAGACCACTGTGCAAATTTTGTGAAACTTCGAAAAGTACGGAAGACGAGAAAACGAGTTTTTATGAAATAAAAAATATTTCAGAATGTCAAGCACCACGAGATCTATGCCCGCGAGGTCCACCGGGACCGCCGGGCGACAAAGGGGCCCCAGGAATTGATGGACCGCCTGGTGATGACGGCAAACCTGGAGTCAGTGGTGTATCATTGATAGCAACGTACGAAATTCCTGGTGGATGCATTGAATGCCCACCGGGACCACCCGGCCCAGCAGGGCCTAACGGTCCAGAAGGCGACACTGGACCAATAGGACACCCCGGCGGTTCTGGAAAAGCAGGCAAGGGCGGGCCAGCAGGACCACAAGGACCGCAAGGCGAACCAGGCGAACCGGGACCAGATGGCCCACCGGGACAACCAGGACCTCCAGGCAAAGATGGCAAACGCGGTCAAGGACCACCGGGAGCCAAAGGACAGCCTGGACCAAAGGGAGCACCGGGTGAAGCAGGAGCAAGTGGACAGAAAGGCGCTGATGGCGAGCCAGGCGAAGCGGGCCCAGCAGGAAGGAGTGGCCAGGATGGCAAGAAAGGCGCCGATGGACGTCCTGGACCGGTAACATTTTTGAAATCACAATTTTGGAATTTGAAAAATTGCAAGTTATTTAAAATTACCGCACTACCACAGTGAATCCTGTTTATGCTGCGCAGGCAGCTTGTTTCATCCAGAGCATTTGAGGAAACTGAGAGATAAATAGTGCTGAGGAAAAGTGAGCTCCGAAGGGAGCGGTTTGTGTTTTGATAATTAAAGAAACGACTGAATAATGTGCAGCTACCTCGCTACTGATGCCGTGCTTGACCAAATTATTACTTCTTGACCATTCATCGCCCGACCTCCTGCTGAGTGTTTATCATGGATACTGCAGCTCACCTGATAATGCTTTTATCAATTGTGCCTACATCCTCTTCGAGAATGCCTTTTTCACGTGCCATTTTTTAAAAATCCTAAAAAGGCGTTTCCATAGCTGTTTTGAAAGGAAGCATTCTCAAGCAAATCATCGACTACGTTTTTAGAAAACAAATTTTTTTCGCATTCCAAACTCTTTCCATTTCTTTTCAACCGTTGCCACAATTACCTACATCATCACACTGAAAAAGATACATGTCACTTTGATAGTTTGAATAGTTGGTGTTTCACCGTTGCATTCCTTCTTGTCATAAGTGCAGCTGTGAACATTACTGTTACACATTTTACGCGTCTCTCATCCTTACGATTCCACACATAACCGCTCGAGCGGGTCCTTCCGCTGCAATATGCTGTGTTGTGTTCTTTCCAGTGCTGCATGGGTACCATTCAGCTATTCGCTTTGCCCATCTGTTATCTCTTAACCGTTCCAGATGACCCGGCTTGATTAAAATCATCAAAACTGCATGTTACATAAATACTATTTTTAAGCGTCAGTTTGCCAGTAATATGTGTTTGTGTATTTCAGCCTGGAGGACCGGGATTACCAGGACCGGATGCTCACTACTGTCCGTGCCCGCCTCGAAGTTCAGTGTATTTGGTGAAGACGCACTGATGAACTATCGCTAGCTCCACCACTACTGCTCACTATACATAAATGTGTTGTACATTCAAACGGTGACACGGTTTAAAAAAAAAAGAGAGAAAAAGAAATAGTATTATTATTGATGAGACGACGTGGAATCCAAAAAATAACGCGATGATGGTACTCAAAAAATATGGTGCAAAGATAAACACTTCATTCCGCGCGTTTCTTGTGTTTTTCTGCAACAGGAGCCGACGGAAAGTGATATTTTTGAGGACATTATGGTAGTCCTGCCCTCCTCAGAGTGCAACGCCTCTTAACTATCCCTGTATTGTAATGCAGTACTGCTGGGAACTTTAATACAATTAATCTTTAGCGCATCTTCACACTTCTGAAAAGTACCTGAACGAGTTCTAGGAATAGTGCTGTTCAACGCATCCCGCTGTGGTTTCAAACGAGGGCTGAAGGAAGCACAAGCGGAAAAGAGGGGAAGGGAACAGGGGGAAAGAAGAAATAAACTTATGCTGCAAAAGATCTTGGCTCAGTTCCATCAGCAACAGCGCGTAGATTTTCGAAGTGCAATAAGCTGTGTTGACGCACAACGAATGTTTTATACTTCAATAGAATTAACACAAAAACAAACAAGTAATTAGTTTTTATTCATCAGTTTGTTCGATGAGAAGCCAGCTAGGGATTTGGTACTCTCCGTTTGGGTCTCTTTTATTCAGCGCTTTTCCAAACTCCCCAATCACCCACTTGAAATCGATTGCCGTTGTACAGGCTACTTCGTACATCTTCCTGTAAATTTCCCAGATACGTATTTCTGCGCAGTCCGTGAATCGTTCCGCACTGGCATGCATCAAAAGACTGGGTACGAAAAGGTACATTAACTGAACGAAGCTATTCGAATGTATTTGCTGGTGTGTTTAATTAGCAAAACAGAAGCGAAAGCCAACGGAAGAAAAATAAGCAAGTACTTGTAGACACCACGAATCTCTCTCGGCAACTTCTTGAAAGCTTTGGTCTTATAAAAGTATGTTTTGATAAAACAGATTCGGTCCTCATCGAAGCCTAGCGATCGCCATGGTAATCTAAACTTATGAGGAAATGATACAAATTTTCGAACTGTGACTTCTTGCAATGACAGCGCACATTGTACTTTTTTACCCTTTTGCATCAAGATGATCCTAGTAATATTTCTGATACTACGCATCCATCGAGCAACTTTTTTTTCATTCCAGAAAGGCGAATGTGGAAAAAGGGGCTGGACGAATGAGGAAAAAAGATGAGAATGAGGAGAAGAGAAAACAATCAAGGCTTTTTCTTCAGAAAATCTACTAAAGTGTACAAAATGAATGCCCTCAAAGTATCCCGGTAGCTGTGATTTGGTATTTGCCTACATCCATCGTCATCACTTTTTTTTAATGCCGTAATGATGACTATCCAAAGATCCCAAGCAGGTGAAGTTCATTTTGCCTAAATTTAGAGTAAGTGCACTTTCGCTTAGATGCACTGTGACCATCGTGCATTTCGTGCAAAAATGGTTTTGCTAATGCACGCATTCCGGAACAGTGCACTGCTTTAACTGACGGTATTTCAGCCTACATACTTTCCGTGTAGCCATTCAGCAACCATGAAAATCACAGATATGATATCATCAGACGGTCCTTGCTCGCGTCCCCAATGTGCTCTTACAGAACTGTAGCGATATGTACCAATAAAGGGAACGAAAACACGCGGTCTAAAAATTTCGGCTATTTTGAATCGTGATAAGTATTTGGAATGTTTCCATCAGCTCCGGTTAAGCAGCTGGAAAGCACTCCTGTTGCTTTGTTAAATAGAAAATTCAAGATACGAAAAAATTCAAATTTTTCATAAGTGGTATCTGTGGTAGGATTTTCAAAGTTTGTTTCCTGGTTTGAAAGATCTAAACAGAACTACAATTGACTTCTCATAGCTTTTATTCGCCCTTACCTCTGCTTGAAATTTTTAAATATCTCGCAACTGTGGCCGATGGCTTATTTCCTTTTCTCCGCCTACGTACAAGAAATCCTTTGTCGGAACAATTAGCAATTTTTGTTTCTGACTAATCCTATCTTCGTGATTACAGAAAAGTTTCATCCGCGATTGCAATTTCGTCTTTTTAGATTTTTTTTTCAATTCGCTAAAAAAATCCTCTATTGATGTCGCTTTGAACTTCTTCCAACTGTCTCCACTCCTTCATTTCACATTTTTTTCAATACTATCACTGACACTTGATCGCATTCACTTTGTTGGTTAATTATTTTTATTTTTAAATTTCTTGAGCCACAACATCAATAAATTTGCGCAATTTTCAATTCCAATTCTTTGTTCGAAATTTCTCGTCACCGAAATCAGGATGATGTTTTCCTTTAGTGAGCAAGAAGAGACCGATGAAACTAAGGGTGTGGCTATTTCTGTGCTTCAAGAAAAACACTATGATTTGCAAAACTCAAATCTCCACGGGGCTGTAAAAGTTTGTTAAAGCCTGTGTTTTTATCCAGCAATTCCACGAATCGTTGAAAAACGCTAGCGACGAGAAAGCCCTGGATACCAAAATTCCGCACAGTGTGCGCTCCACTGTTTAGGCATCCACGACATGTGCGCTACCAAGTTGTTTCATCTTAACGGTACCACTCATGTGTAATTTTGAAATTCTTTGTCATATTAACATTCCCACAACGCTACTGCGTAATAGCAACATCAAGGGCCACAAAACACAGTTCGATGATTGCCAAACCGGCGATATGTGTCTTCAGCAAAGGAGCGTTAAATCTGAGTACTACATTTTTGACGATGACACGCTTGCTAGGAGACAATGATAAAGCAGTACTTCAATGGCCAGGGCAACGCAGCGCTAAGATCCGTGATAATAATCCCGTGCAAGATATTCTCCCTGGTTGGTGGATTTGTTACAGCAAAATTATATGGCGTTACGAAACGATTCACATAGCCAGCACGATTTAAAGCAGCAAGTGCACGAATACATCCAACGCCGACCATCAGCGCCAACGGAGCTGGTATTACCCTGCACAAAGAACCGAGTTTATTTCGTGCATTCGGACACTTTTCCGGTTTTAAGAACAGCGGTGTAAACATGCGTTTTCATGATACTCGCTTCTACCGGCACTCATAACTCTGTCTATTGTTTACGGGTAAAAAATGAAGCACCCCACTGCTTCTTTTCATGTTCATTCGCGATATGACTTGTAATTCCTATGCCACTTCATGCTCAATTGCATACGTTTTGTATTCAGCAACAGGAATGAAAGCCAGAGGATTCCACGCAGTCTCTCGATCTGCCTGGTAGGGAAAATTTCATGTTTATGGCTTACTTCTTTGTGAGTCTATAAAATTGCCGAATCCAGGGACAGAAAAGCTCAAAAGCTTATCTCAAGTTATCCAACCTACAACATCATGGTAATTTAGAGCTCCATATCCAGCTATGCTTTAAAACTGCACTGGTAATTCAGGGTTCCACACCCAGTCCGTTCAAGTCATAAGTCAGGAACACAGTGAGTTTAAACAATGATTTTGAGCTTTTTACACATTTGATTGATTCAATTTTTTTTAAAATTAGATTTAAACTTTCAATCAAGCTTTTGATCTGATGTCAAAAGTCAGGATACAGAAAAGAGAAAGTTGTTAGATCCGCGGCGATGCTTGTGGTTGTATTACCCTTCGTTCCGCTACAACAGACTCTTTTTCTTCTTTCCTTTTCCTCAGTTTTAGCTCAACAGTTACATTTTCCTCGCAATGCTGAGTAAGTTCTTAAAGACTGGAACACGTACGCTTAAACAGACATGTGTACGCATGGCTGTTCCAATCCTTTAAGAGCCTTCAGCTTATGCAGAAGTATTCTTTAAATATCTTGCGCATCAATGAAGAATATTAAGGAAAAAACAATCATTTGGACGATGTTTAGGCATGGAGTGTAGAGAAAATAACTTGAGCGGTTAATGAGGCAATCCATAAAAGAAGGAACTGGCACCGATTTTCATTAGAAAATTGATCAGAAAGCTCCAAGAACAACTAAGATGTGTTGAGTTGTATCAAGAGAAAAACGTTATGCTCAGGCAAAAAAATTGAATGTGCTATTTTAGTCGGAGAGAAATGGTTCGCAGAGGCGGCATTTGTTCGTTGATGGGTTATGAATCCCTCCGTCCAGAAATCAGATGTTGTTGGGAAAATGGTCGGTAATTTGGCGCGGTGTTGCATAGCAGGGACATTCAATAATTCGAGGATATAGCGTGGATGATTTTGACGATACAGCTTAACTAAGAAATGAGCAATGTGTGGGCAGTTACGAACTTGAAGTGTGCTCGCTGAACTGAGTTGCAATTTTAGACGACGCTACTGACGTCTATCGCACAAGCAGCAAATTGCGTTTCTAATTCATGAATCTACTGCTAGCAGGATAAAACGCGTAAAATGTATGCCTGAATTTGAAACTTTTGTACGCAACGCCGTGTAGGATATCATTGTGACCACGCAAGAAAATAAAATCCGATTGACAGAGCTAGACAATGCGCATTAATGAGTATTATCTCCGAAAAAGTAAACGACCACTCGAGCGACTCCCGAATAGGTGGCAGTCATATATTGAGTACTAACTGGACACATACCGGTCAAAATCTAAGGGCTGTGACGCAACTGCACTCGGCATATGGATATATCCTAGTAATATCACTAATAGGGGATGTCCACACTTATGGCCCGAGAGGTCTCAGTATTTTTGGTGCAAGCAACAGATTCACTGGTTGCCAGGAACTCAGCGAACTTTAATTACCTCTCCGGTGAAAGCATGGTGAGCGAGGATAACGGAAAGGCATCGTACTGAATAATGCAAAACGCATGGCCGCCGTATAACGGATCACGTTCCTCTTGTTGCTCACCTTCACTGCCATAATAGAGCTGAAAAGAGGCATTTTCTGCGAGTTATTTATAAGCCGAAAAAAACGCATTAGAACGAGAAGTTGTGTGTGTGTGTGTGTGAAAGCATAAGCAAACTAGGGAATTATTATGATGTCAGTTTATAGAATCAGCCCTGAATTTGGACAGAATGCAAGTAGCCAAGGTGCAGAGGAACTTGAAAAGTAGTTTGACTCAAATTCGAGCTCTCGTGTATCGTTGGGAATTTTGTTCATAAATTTAACTGCTTAGCTTTCGTTGTTCTGAGGTGAATTATGCGAACAGACACACTTGGCCACTCATTCATACGTTTTTGCTGCACCAATGAAGAAAAAACATATTAATATCAATTTCCGGAGATAAAATTAACAGGCGTTATATTTTTTTAGAGTCCGTGATGTATATGTTCCCCCTCTTAAAAAAAAAAAAAAAGCATGTATAAAAGATGTAGTTTTGGGAGGCATGACGCAGGTTCCACTACTCTGTGCACGAGAATTTGACGGTCTCTCTAGATGCTGTTCATTTGCATAGATGGTAAGCTGGTGTTATCAGGAAGCAGCTAGAGAGTTGCCTATTAGGTAACCTTTAAAGAGGGAGCCGTCGACAATGTTGCCAGCAGGTGGTTACTGTTGGCAAGTGGGACACCGGGTCTCCTTCCGCTTGCTTGCGCCCCTTGGAAAAAGTGGATGTAGAAGAGATCTTGAGTTTGACAAAGATTTCTTTTGAAATTTTCGAGCAATAAAGAAAACAGATTTACTAATTCCAAACCCATTTACCCGCTACGCTAGCTATTCCAGCGTTATTCTGGGTATAATTTCTCTACCTTCTTATTTTGCAGTTTAATGAGCCTTGTTTACCCACTTTCCTACACTCGCGCATTCTTAGTTTATTTTGGTTCCTTTCCAACTCTACTTTTGCACCTTCTTTCCAGGACGACAGTTTTAACAACTCTTGAAAGCACAGAGAAAAAGATTTTTTTCCACCCGTTGGATATGTGTTTGATTTGCTTTATATATGTGGTATGAGACATAAAGCGCTTACAGGAAATTTGTGCTGACGAATTTTTTTTGGACATGAAAGAAGCAACCAGATTTATTTAATGGCATTTCATAACGATATATTACGCGACCCTCGAATGAAGAAAAACTAGTCGTGGCCTTGAGCGAGTTGGTTAAAACCAAAATAAATGGCCAACGCACGGGCTGCCCGTGCGAAGATGCGTTTTTTGCAGAGTTCCCCGCAG